CTTTCTTTCTTTCTTTCTTTCTTTCTTTCTTTCTTTCTTTCTTTCTTTCTTTCTTTTATAAATTCTTATAAATTAATAATGTATTTGTTAAAACGTTTAAGAAATGGAATAAATGGTTACATAAAAGAAAGAAAAAAGAAAATAGAGACATCATGGATCAAGAATAAAATATCAGTAAATATAGGATTTACAATTTTTTAAAAGATTCTTTATCCCGCCTTTATTATTTTTATAAATAACTCAAGGCGGCGAACATACCCAATATGCCTTCCTGCTCCTATTTTTACCATCAGATTTATAATGAATTAATTACTTAAATTAACAAAATGCATAGGACTTTCATTGTATCATCTCAAGAAATAACTAAAAATCTCTATAAAATTTTAGGAATGATATTAATATTGATATCACCACTGTTTGTCATTGTTCCAAAAAAGATGCACATAATCAAGAGCTGTAAGAAGGAAAAAAAAAGGGGGGGGGGAGAAAAAGAATCAAATTTAGAGATAAATAAAAATAAGATTCTAAAAAAGGAGAAAAATCAATAAAAATATTAAGAAACTACATAGTTCTAAAATCCCTCCCATTGTACCTGTCTAGTGATTGCATCAAAATATTTATAAACATTGAAGTTGCTTCTAATTACTGTCTTTATGTCAATTGTTTTCCCCTTAAAAACTGTTAAGTGTCTGACTTTGCCTTGTGGGTGACATATAATATAGAGGGGAGCCTTTCTTAATTGTTCTGGTATGTTATTTGTGCACAGAAGACAGATGTTGAGCTTTTTTAGGCATACTATATCTGGATTTCAAAAATCTAGATGACCGTAGGTGGCAGAAAAGAGTCACTTTTTATATTTCTTTACCGCCATCTCCTGGTCATCTAGATTTCAAAAAAGTCTAATTTTTGTACATATCACCATTACTCCTACTTTAAAAAATGCTCCGATATCTTTTCTCCCAGAGAATAATGAGGGCTGGATGTTACAGCTGCAAAATCATTTTCGGGTATTGTTTCAGCATTTGCATGTTAAAGTTCCCTTACATTCCCAAACAGGCATAGGCAGCTGACCTTTAATAATAGCTGGCTAGGGGATTCTTTACAGATTGCAAGACATATTTTAGGGGCAAGCTTATACTTTTTTTTTAAGGGTACAACCAAGCTTATTAAATCCAAATATTGAATTTAAAAATATGTACTGTCTCATTGTTAAGAGTTTTAGTTGTACCCCTTGTTTAGTATATAGTTTGCTGTGAATGTTTTGCTTTGCTTTTGTTTTCTGAATATGAATTTTAAAAAGCTACCAGTCATTTCTGTTACTTTATGGCAAACTAAGTTCCATCTTCTGTTGAAGTTCCAAGTGATATTAAACATTTATAAGTACATCATTGTAAGCATATCATTATGAAGTGCTAGAAATCTTGCCATTAACCACAGATACAGGTATCTGTATTCCAGGAACATACAATCTCAATCTTTTTTATTTTGTCAGCTGGGACTCAGTCTTGACTCCCTTTTTTCCTTCATTTAGTCTTGTGGTTTGTATAGATACATTGCGTATCTTAAATGTGTCTAAAAGCTTCTGAGTAAAGATAAACTGGAAATATATGAAAATGAAATGAAAGAAGATACAAGGATTCAAATCATGCTGATAATATATTTCACTTAAGATAGTGGCAAAAAATAAATACATAAGGCATGCACACTCATAATTCTAAAAGGGCTGAATAAGGGGAATACTTAGCAAGGGGAGAATATGAAACAGTTGGTATATAATCCTCATCCCATGTTTAATCATGGTTTCTAGTATCACGAGGCAAGGAGATGCTTGAATTTCCATGTCATGGAGTCCTAAGACAGCTTAGTTGAGGTAGTTGAGGTTTTACTTTTAAAAAATGGTAGCCTGAGCGGCGTGTTATAAAATCATAGAAGTGGACAGCAGGGCCTTATGAAATCACATTTTTTCCCCCTGTTTTTAGTGGCACATGCTGGTTATAGGGTTGTGGCAGGGTTTTTCAAATTTGGCATCTTTAAGATGTGTAGACTTCAGCTCCCAGAATTCCCCAGCCAGCTTATACATTTACATTGATAGCTGACTGGAAACCCCTTATGGACTTTTTGCACGAAACGGGAAAAAATGCACATTATGATTTGTGGTTTTGATGATTACAAAAAATCTGGATAATAGAAAAAAGTGAGGGTTTTTTTTTTTTTGGGTAACCATAGAGTAAGAGTTAATTTTGTAATTGTATTTATATTTGCTGCAAAAGAAATTGGAAGCTTCTTTCTTTTGTTCTCTCTTTTTGCCCTTTTTCTTTCTTCTTTCTTTCTTTGCTCTGTTAACTCTTTATTAGCTTGTGTTAGTTTTTATGTTCTTTGTAAAATCTTTAATAAAATTTATAAAAAAACAATTAAAGTTGCCAAATTTGAAAACATTAGATGATAAGGTCATAGGGTACACTGAGGCTTTCCAGAAACTTAGCACATGTTATTTATTTGATTTTCTGTTAGAATGCAGCAAGACATTGCACCATCATTTTTAGGCAATTTGCTGCCAAATTATAGCAGTGAGTTCAAAGGGAGGGGCCTGGGTGTCTTCAGAAAAGGGGATGGAGGGCATATACAGGTTATAGGGTGCCCACCCTGCTTTAAGAAGATGCAGGGCTTTGGCAAATGGAAAAGAGTTTGTTTGAATACATCCACCCCTGTTTAGCTTCATTCCTGTCTCCTCCTTGAATCCTCAGAAGTGAAGGATTTACTTTTACAACAAACTTCCTCTTTTTTCTCAACAGGTTATGGAAATATTGCCCCGAGCACAGAAGGTGGAAAAATTTTCTGTATTTTGTATGCCATCTTTGGGATCCCACTTTTTGGCTTTCTGCTGGCTGGCATAGGTGACCAGCTTGGAACCATCTTTGGGAAGGGCATTGCACGAGTCGAAAAGGTCTTTCGAGTAAGACTGAGCTGCTTAATCTTTTATTTTTTTTATTTTTTAGCTCTGAAGCTTAATGGCATAGCATATGCACTTCTGGAAAATGTGGCTTGGTTGGGCGCTGTGATGCCACCTACCTCATAGATATGTCTTCACAATTGATAAAAATTATACAACTCTCTAGCTAGGGTAGCAGTCTTTAGGGACTTTCAGGAAAAAAATGATGAAGGTGTATGTTGCAACAGAACATCAGCAGCTCTGTGTTTGGCCAGAGGGCCTTCCTTCTAGGTATCTCTGACTAGTCCAATAATTTTCAATCTGCCAGGTAACTTTAAATATAACATATACATGTGGTTAAAAAGTTACTTTTTTAAATTTCCTACTTCTTCCTTTGGCATATTTCTTTAATCCCAAGGGATGATTCTCTCGGCAATTAATTCAGTTCATATCTTCTGTTTGATATGGTTTCATAGCTCTGCAGGAGAAGTTCAGATTTAAATCAGGAAGGGAATGACTTTATTCCTTGCAATTTACTGTATTTTTCCGACTATAAGACGATACTTTTTTCTAAAATCCTTACCCTAAAA